AATTAAAAGAATGGACTTGCTCTAAAACTTATTTTTTGTTCAGTCAGTCGGAAAATGTAAGAAAGATCCAGCATCTGAACCATGTCTGGTAGTGTACAATCCTAGATGCATCATCAGTGCAAGTTTGGTCACGATAGAGCTTATAGTTACATAAGAATGAGACCCGCTTCAAAATCTTTAAACGGCTCACTAAGTAAGAAAATGTAGGTCATATCTAGCATCTGAAGCAAGTCTAGTAGTGTGCATCCGTAGATGCATCAAGAAGCAAGTCTGGTGAACAAGTGCTTACAGCTTGCTCTGCTCCAAAAACTTAAACCTGCTTTTAAAACATTTATCTGGACATTCTTTTGCTAAAAATCCAGCATCAGAAACCTGACTGGTGACAAGGAAACACGCTAGATCATGTGTCTCTGATTAATATAGGGCATAGTTATACTTAAAAAAAATCTGCTTCAAAACTTTTACCTGGAACACCGATGCCGACGGTATTAAAAGTTCCCCCAACTTCGAGGAGGTGAGCTAAAAATGTGACGTTAACGTTATATGTTGGCGACCAAAAAAAGTATCGAAATGAAGATAGGATACGAAAATGTTTTCTACTGTTAATATAATCGAGAATCTTCTTTGATTTAAAAAAATATGCTACTTTTGGCGTAGTATTTTAACAGTCAGATCAAGAAACCAGGAGCTCCTAATTTTAGATAAGCAAATTTTATGCAATTTTCAATTCTTGGATATGAAGTGCACACGCGACACTCATCTCGTTTCAAGAAATTAGTGTGCAGAGTATGTATAATTACTGAGCAAATTTAGGTGAGTGTCCCTCATGCACTTCATATTCTAAACATCGATTTATAAATGCCACCCTCTTATATTTTCCCATAAGCCTAATGTTAACGGATCTGAGGGTACATCTAAGTATGTATCAGCTACGGTGTGAATTCATCTCATATTAACTTTTGAAATATAAATAACCAAAGGTAACATATTTATCTTGAATTCTGAAGTAGGTTTGAAAAAATAAATTGAAATTTATCTGTATGAAAAAAAGTGGGCCACTGAGCGGCCTTATCGAAACTCCCCCTTTCAAAAGTAGGACAGTGACCTACTTTTCAGATGACATACTTTAAGGACCCAAGATGCATCAACTGACAAAGTTTGATGATTCTAAGCCGATTAGTACCTGATATATTTAAATAACGCCATAAAATTTCAAAAATAGGTCACAGTGACCTCCTTTTCAGTCGACTAACTCTGCGGACCCAAGATGCATCAACTGACAAAGTTTGGTGATTCTAAGTCAATTAGTACCTAAAAATATTTGAATAAAGCAGTAAAATTTCAAAAGTAGGTCACAATGACCTACATTTCAGTCAACTTACTCTGAGGACCCAAGATGCATCAACTGACAAAGTTTGATGCTCTAAGCTAATTAGTACCAAAAATATTTCTTTATAGCCATATAAATTGAAAAGTAGGTCAAAGTGACCTACTTTTCAGTAGACGCACTCCGAGGACCCAAGATGCACCAACTGACAAATTTTAATGATTCTAAGCCAAATAGTACCCGAAAAATATTAAATACAGCCATAAATTTTCAAAAGTAGGTCACGGTGACCTACTTTTCAGTCGACCTACTCTGAAGACCCATGATGCATCAACTGACAAATTTTGATGGTTCTAAACCAATTAGTACCTGAAATATTTAATTAAAGTCATATAATTTGAAAAGAAGTTCACGGTGACCTACTTTTCAGTCGACCTACTCCCAGGACCAAAGATACATTAACTGACAAATTTTGATGATTCTAAGCCAAATAGTGCCCAAAAATATTAAATACAGCCATAAAATTTCAAAAGAAGGTCAAGGTGACCTACTTTTCAGTTGTCATACTCCGAGGACCCAAAATGCATCAACTGACAAAGTTTGATGATTCTAAGCCAATTAGTACCTGAAATATTTAATTAAAGCCATAAATTTTCAAAAGTAGGTCACAGTGACCTCCTTTTCAGTCGACTTACTCCAAAGACACAAGATGCATCAACTGACAAAGTTTGATGATTCTAAGCTAATTAGTACCCAAAATATTTAATTATAGTCATAAAAATTGAAAGTAGGTCACAGTGACCTACTTTTCAGTCGACCTACTCTGTGGACCCAAGATACATCAACTGACAAATTTTGATGATTCTAAGTCAAATAGTACCCTAAATATTTAAATATAGCCACAAAATTTAAAAAGTAGGTCACAGTGACCTACTTTTCAGTTAACTTTACAAAGTTTTATGATCATAGGCCTTAAATTGTTCAAAATATGCCTCTAAATCATTTTGAAAAAGAATAGCCACAAAATTTAAGAAGTAGGTCACCATGACTTACTTTTGAGTCAACATGATATGAGGTCCTTAGATGCATCAGCTGATAAGATTTGATGATCCTAATTTTTATAGTAAGCAAAATATCAACATTTTAATAAAATGTAATTTTTGGTCAACTTTGAAGTGACCTTGAGACCACGCCCTTTGCCCCAGGGTGATTTCCCATGCACATTTTAATCTACAACATATCCTCATCATTTTATGTAGGTTTGGTGATAATCTGCCCAGTGGGTCTTGAGAAGAAGATTTTTTTAGCAACCAGTACTTTTGTTTCTATTTTCCTAATTATTCCACTTGTTTAAGGGTCACAACCCTAGTTTTAGAATAAACGGGAGCCTTTGGGCCAAGGATACCCTGTGAAAAATTTGACAATAATTGGTCAAGGGGTTGTTGAGTTATGGCCCATATTCTAAAAAGAATATTTGTGCGCACACTGCACAAATGGCCATAGCATTAGCTCTTTGAGCCTTTGGCTCAGAAGAGCTAATCAAAGATTTGTCAATGACAATAGGGGCCAGATTTTTAGGTCTGAAGGTGTTTTTTTTGACAACAGTTTTCATGGCAAAGAAATGCCTGAACAAATTAAAATATATTTTTAAAACAACACACTTGCCTTATCACTCCCCAAAGTAAATATAAACATTTTCTGAATGGGGACCTAAAATGGCCCAAACCATATATAGTTCTTTGCAAAATACCAGTACTTGATATCAACAAAACACGTACAATCCCATACATAGGACATAAGGACATCACGAACGCCTACATGATGCACGGGCCAACCAGGAGAGGCGGAAGCAAAGTCCTGAGGAAGACAGTACATGTACAACCAGTCGTGGCACTCAGTCAATGCCTGTCTTTAATTCTAAGAACAACAGATCAATTAAAGCCACACAGTCATGGACAGACAACTGTTAGTTGTCATGCTGGGACAGGATTCCTATATTATAATGATACCACTAAACATCAGGGTTGGGGTCAATTACTTTGAAATGTAATCAAATACTTTCACATACTTTGAAAATTTTGTCAAATACTTGCAATTACAATTACATTGATTTTTACAAATGTAATTAATTACTCTCAATTACTTTAAAGAATTAAATACATTTCAATTACTTTTGTTTCATTTTCAAAAATCTTGAAGAACAAATACATGCATGTAAATTTAAGGTAGCTAGGGGGAATATTTAAAATAAATAATGTCATGTGTCTGTCATGTTTTTTGTGTTTCATCAACATAAAACCTAGTCCTACATTTACATTTATCAATTAATTGACTGCCTTTATGAAATTATGAATCAACAATAAAATATTCTCAAATTATTTTAGCTACAGGTAGGCAAGCTAAACAACTTAAATTGCAAATGTTGACAAAAAATACTTGTTTTATGTAATAACTATTTTAGGTACCAAATGCATATGTAAATAAAGATCTGTTTTAAATAGTGATTCAATATTTATTTCTTTGAAGTATATAAATAGGAGAGTATTCTTAATAGTATTTAATAAATCACCTCTAATGGTCATATCTTTAATTTAAACAAAGCATGGTATAAAATTATATAAAATTTTGGAGGGTTGTTTTGATAGCAATTTACAGCTGGGTGTTGAAGGGTAACAAGGCAGGTCTTAATGACACATTAATTAATTTTTTTTCCCTTTTCTTGATAATCAAGCAACAAAAAATTGAAATGTTTCATGCTTATACCAATGAGAAGTAGAACAAAATTTTTGAAAAACATTAAACTAGTGTTAATTCTTTATGTGCATTATAATTATAAAACAAATATTTTTATAAACAAGCAGCAATATATCAAATTTATTTATTGACATATAAAAGAGTTTAACATTTTGAAAAACAGAAGGGCTTCTTTGAATAAATTAAAAAAAAAACCTGTAAAATGTGACTGTGTTGGAAATATTTTCTTATTAAATACAAATAAAATGTATTATGTAAAGTAATTGAAATGTTATTGAAAAGTAATTGAAATTACAGGGTATTTTTTCATTGAAATTAATTATATTCAATTACATGTAATTGAAAAAATGGTCAATTACAAATTACTTCTAATTACTTTGAAAAATGTAATTACACTCAATTACAATTACTTTTATCAATTACCCCATCCCTGCTAAACAATGGTGCTAAGATATTTCGAACATATGTGATGTATCTACTCAGTGCAATGGAATTGTCGTTCGAGAAAGAAAAAAATTTGGTGATGGAATGGACCAAATTAAAAGGACATAACTATGGAGCATTCAGTGTCAATGTAAACCTTTTATTTTGTTAAATTGTACCCACATTTTCATTCATTTTCTGAATCAGAACGAATCTCTATGTGCTTGGTTTATGTTACAGACTTTTTAAAAAGTGACTATCAATAACTTTAATGCTTTTTTTTGCTATGATTGTCTTTCTTTGTTATAGATGTCTCTTAAATTTTACTCTTATCACGTGATAATCATTATACATACACTATTTTTTTATTTTCACAACAAAATGATGCAAATTTAAAGCTTTGAAAATTCATAGAGACTCCATGGGTGAATCTATGAGCACCTGTTTTACAGTAGGTCACCCAAGTGACTTGCATATCTGAAATAAAACTCTCATCTACTTAATAGCTTTTATTATTAGACATTACACACAACAATAAGTACTGACAAGTATACAGTGCACTCAGAAAGGGATATAAATTATCCATAGTTACAGTACATAGTTCTCTATAATCTGAGAAAGAGTGGTAATGCAAAGAATACATGTACATGTATTTGGAGGATGAAAACTAACCTAACAATCAACAATACAACCTGCAGTGCAAAAAAAAATATGACTATGGGCATCAAAGCTCACCTGAGTCACCATTTTCTTCCTGATATTTCACTTATGACTCTTCTGGTTTTTTTTTTAAAAAGTTTTCATAGTTTAGTTTCATATATACATATATATTCCCCCTACATGCCCCAACTCCACCTCAGGGGCCATATTTCGACAAATGCCAGGGCCATATTTCAACAAATGCTTTACCACACAGGAATATTGACCCTCTTTGTGAACCCACACTAGTCAAAATTTAATCCAAACACTAAACAAATTTTACTCTATATACTTCATGAAGATACTTAGATACTAAGATGGCTTTTTGATCTGCTGTTGTTTAGAAGGAGCTTATTATAGACTTTTAACTATAATTATCCTTATGCAGATTTAACCAAATATTGCTGCCCCATCTTATCCCCCGTTTGATGAATAGAACACAGTTCAACCTATACTACCCCTACTTTCCATTTTACCATCAATTTGAACAAACCTGAATATATTACATACTGTGGCCCTGCTAATCTTAAAAATTCAAGGATCTCAAATATACTGCTATATAATACACAGAAAATCAAAGATTACAAAGCTCAACTCAACAAATAATATCTTTAGGTAAGACAAAATCTCATACCATTTTTTTAATTAGTCTGAAAACCTGAGATTAATATCCATGCAAGTTTGGTTTTAGAAGAACTTATTACTTGGGAATGGTCTTGCATGAAAATGTTATTCTGATCACTCATCTGGAAAATGTAGGTATGATAAAGTATCAAAGTAAATCTGGTAGTGTCCAACCCTAGATACTTCATCCATGTCAGCTTGGTTTTGACTAGGGCTGATATTCATTCATCTTGAAAATATGTCAGGTCAGCATACAAAGCATGTAGGTTATTATGCATCCTTTAATGCACTGTCCTTGCAGGTTTGGTATAGGTAATAGGCATATATTTACTTTGGGATGGACCTGCTCCAAAAACAATAACTCGTTTGCACACCCAAAAATGCATTTCAGATAAAGCATTCAAAGTGAGTTTGGTAGTGTCCATTCCTTGTGCATTATCCATGCAAAGAGCTAAGTTCACTTTGTGCATAAAATGGCCCTGTCCTTATATCAATTAATTGACTATCACCCTCTGTCCCATTTCATATGTCAAAATTAAGTAGAGACTTAGTGCTCCCTTTTCCTATGACAAAATTTCTTTTTGAGAATCAGTTATCAGAAAATAGGCTTTATGAAAATGCAGTGTTCTTGAATTTTGCAGAAAACAGGCGTATTTCACTACCTTCAGCAAAGAATTAAAATATGAGCACAGCCCTCAATCCAAAAATTAAAGCATGTTTCATGATCTTCAGAAACAGATCTTTCATTAAGTAATTGCATATTTTGGATCAGAGGTAGTGCTCCATATGAAATATTGAAAAAATACTTCAAATTTAAGCCAGTTTTAGAGGAGTTTACAGGATATGCTAAAAATGATGCATTTTATGACATCATAATGGATTGACTAGAGAGAAAATTACGTCATATTCAATAGAGAAACGATCACCAAGGGTCCAAGTGATAAATACTGCATTGTCAAGCAAAACTGAGCAGTTTCAATTTTTCAGAAATTAACAGGACCAAAAAAGGCCCTAAGTGGCCCTTGCTCTTTGGTCCAGGTAGGGTTTATAGTTACTTAACAAAAGACTTGATCCAAAACTTCAACCTGGTCACTCATCAATAATGTAGGTTAAATCCACCATCCAAAGCAAGTCTTATAGTGTACATCCCTGTACATATCTGTTCAAGGTTGGTCCAGGTTAGAGCTTATAATTACTTGGGAATGGACCTGCTCCAAAAAAATTTAACCTCATCACTCCATGATTTAAATGTACACAAGTCAAAAGATTATGTGTATGTCAATATCATAAATATCACTATAAATTCTTGAAATGAAGATTTTTAAAGATATTCCCTTTTGATTCCTATATAAAACTTTCACCCATATTGCAGTCCATCCCAGCCCCGGAGTCCAGAAATTGAACAAGTTGCAGAATATAACAGCACACAATTTTTATCTATTTTGGCATACCTATTTTTAAGATTTAAAAATGACAATAAAATCTTTTCACCAAATATGAATTATCTCCCCTAGGAAGAGGGTGTTAATCTTTCTTTCATCAAGATGTTTTGTGGCAAGTTTGACTGACATTGCCCTGTGGTACTGGAGAAGATGGCATAAGATTCCAGTTTTTAGATGATACAGATAGACAGATAGACTATCAACCAACAACCTTTGGCTCAGGTGAGCTAGAAACTATACACATATATATGCAAGTAAATATGCAAAGCAATCATTAAATACATACAAAAGGTGCAAACATTGTTTTCTTCTACTTTCAGAAAACCATGAGATACAGCAGTATAACTATTTATGATAAAGCACATGAAAATGATTCAAAGTATTTCATGGAGAATGAAAAAAAAATTAAAATGCAATTCATTTTGTAAAGTAAACATTATGTAAAATTCAAACAACTTGGATAAGTTCAGCAAATGTGATATTCAAAATTTCACATCTCTTTGTCTTTTAAATTGTTTTTGGCACAACTTTTAAAATAAAATAAGTTTAAATACAACCTAAATCTTGAAATTCTCACAACCTAAAATCATCTTGTACAAGCCAAAAAAAAAAATACAGAAAAGAACACAAATATATCAATTATTTTTATAACTGTGACATGTTTATAAGGCTGTCTGCAATTTTCTGTATGATGAATCTGTATATGCTCTGGTCAAATAGAACAAAAGGCCCATGGGCCACAGTGCTCAACTAAATCACCATAGCCATGCTGTTATCAGATTTAAAAAAATTCCTCTGTATTCTAATGAAAATTTTTTAACCTCTTTTATGGCCCAATCCTATCCCCTGGGGCTATGAATTAAACAAAATCTTATGTGCACTAACTGAGGATGCTAGCATATCAATATGACCACTCATGACCCTGCTGTTTTTGAAATGATGATTCTTAATGATTTTTTTAAGTTCTAATGTGAAATTTCCATACCTTATTGCAGACTCATCCTATCCTTGGGGATCTGCATTTTATATAATCTTTAATACGCACTACATGAGGATGCTTAAATGTCTTATCATAATCATACTATTCCAGAAAAGGAAATCTTTAAACACTTCTTCTTATATATTCTTACAAAAACTTTATTCCTCTTTTGGTCCCACCCCACCCCTGAGGGTAATGAATTCAACAAACTGGATTCTGCACTACCTGAGAATGCTTGGTGGTGCATCATTAAATTATAGACTAATTGTGGCCTGCTGGTCTTAAGAATTAGAAAATTAAAAAGATATTTCCCTATATATTCCAATGAAAGTATAAAATTATCCCTAAAGTGATCCCATTCTAAGGGGGGGCATTATTGAACACATTTGAATTTAGACCTTGATTATCTCACGTTGAAAGAAGCATGACCCTTTATTTAAAGAATGTGAATCCTCTTCACACAAAGAAACATTGTGCTAAGTTTGGTGAAATTTGCATACTGCTCTTGAGAAGATCCTGACAATGAGAGTCAACAATTTTGACCAGAAGCCTTAAACAAGGACTAAAACATATGCTACATGACTTGATATGCATTGATACTTTTAGGTATTAAGATATAATAAAGCATAACAAAAGAACATGATATTCACGCCAGTAAATTTACAGAACATTTCTATCCACCTACATTCCACAGTCTTTCTTTATTCTTGTAAACTATAGATGAAAATATGTGCATTTGTATATCCAAGAAATGTAAAATTGATGTATGAATAATAAAGACCCAATGGGTCACAATGATCAGAAAGGCTCATTTGAACTAACAACTTGAGTAAAAATATTAGAGAAACAAATTCTAAAATAATAAGAGGCATAAAATTGTAAATATCAAAGTTTTAAAAAATTACTGATATATTTTGCACTAAGTACATTAATCACATCAGTGTCATTTTTGAAATTTAAAAAGCATCTAAAGATTCATTGGTCACAATGCTCACCTGAGTCACCTTGGCCCTGTTATATGTAAATTAAATAATATTTCACCAGCACAACTAAATCTTCCACCTTGACTTGAAGAACCTTAAATCTACACTTTATCAGGAATCTTTCATATAATTTTTATCTTCACTGACAGAGTGGTTCCTATATCTCACCTTGAGAGAAGATTGCATTAATTAATATGCTAGGTTTTTTTCTACCCATCATAAATACAATATAATTGAAAAATTGAAAATCAACCTAAAACTTTTATTTATTTCTGTTGCCTGTATGTATCGCTCTATAGCCACACATTATGAATACAAGGGTATCTAAGTGTTAAAATAACTGGACAAGACCATGAGAATGTACAGATAATATTAAAAACCACTACTTGCTAATTGGGTAATTACACCCATACTCAAAACAATCTGATCAGCTGAACTGCTTTTCCATGAATTTATTTTCGCAACCTGTCTGCTTTTCTGGGATTACTCCATACTGCTTTTCCGCGATTGGTTTTTACTATACGTTATGTGTTATCTCCTTTTTTTAATACCTCCTTTCTTTTTTAATGGTCATGGTTAGGAATAAACATCAAACAACTGCCAATATTTACCTGTATTTCCCCCATAGAGTTTTATACTAGGTAGTGAGTATTAATTCACACTGTGATAAAAATTGAATGAACCACATATTTTACACTGGGTCTTGATAGGTTTTAGACGTTATGGAAATTGTTCATACAAAAAAGAGGCCCATGGGCCACAAGGCTCACCCGAGTAACTTTGGCCCTGCTGTTCTTCATCAGATTTCCCCCTTATAATACTTATTGTGGCCTCACCCTACCCCTCGGGGTCATGATTTGCACAATTTAGATTCTACTCTACCTCAGAAAGCCTCCTCCACATAAGTTTCAGCTTTTCTGGCGCAGTGGTTCTTGAGGAGAAGATTTTTAAAGATTTTTCCTATATATTTCAATGTAAAACTTGGATTCCCTATTGTGGGCCCACCCTATCCCTGGGGGTCATGATTTGAGCAATTAAGAATATACACTACCCCAGCATGCATCTACCTAAGTTTCACCTTTTCGGGCCCAGTGGTTCTTGAGAAAAAGACTTTTTAATGAACCCACCATATTTTTGTCTTTTCCTGATTATCTCCCCTTGTAAGGGGGCTTGGCCCCTTCATTTTAACAATTTAAACTCTCCTTTACACAATGATGCTGTATACCAACTTTGGTTAAAATTGGCCCAGTGGTTCTTGAGAAGAAGATAAAAACGTGAAAAGTTTAGACAGATGGACGGACGACAGACAACAGGTGATCAGAAAAGCTCACTGAGCTTTCAGCTCAGGTGAGCTAAAAACAAATCGCGGCAACAAATATACAATGGATTTACATATAGAAAGGTCAATGTTTTAAAGAATGGTAATGTCTATGCAGCATAGATAAAATATGCAAATCCAGGATTACAACCGTAGTAAGCAAGGGGCAACAGGGTTTATCAGGGTTTATTTGGCTAAAGGAAGAGGTACGGAAAAAAAGTGGCGGAAAAGCAAAAAATATAATTGTGGAAACAGTATAACATCACTTAAAAGCAGGATTTTTTCGCGGAAAAGCTGTGTCGAATCGCAGAAAAGTGAAACTGCGATCTGATCAAAAGCAGCTTTCACAAATGGGGCAATTATGATCAAGACTTACACAATTAATTTCAAAAATAACATTTGAAAATTCCATTGAATTTATATGGTATTTATTTTTTTTTCCTAATTCAACCATTTACCTAAGTATAAACACGTGTGAAACAATTTGTTTATAAATATTGAAGTTTAAATTATTCTCTTTTTTGTTATACATCTTTCCTATAAAAATGTTTACTTATAAAAACTTTAATTTGTTGAGGATGTAAATTTGTTGAAGGGTATCCATGATGAATTCTACGAACATTGAACCACCATGAAATCTAGCGATTCCACAGTATATTCCTATGTTAAACTATGATCACCTACTTTGTTGCCAAATTCTATACCCTGGGGGCCGTGATTTAAAAAAAAAAATTGAATCTACACTGCCTGAAGATGATTCCATATGGATAAGACTTATCATAGTTTTGCTGTTCTTTTAAACATTTTTAAAGTTTTTCTTTTATATCTCTGTGTATTTTGACTGCCTACTGTGGCTCTGTCCTACCCCCAGGCATCATGATTTGAACAAACTTGAATCTGCTCTATATAATAAAGCTTTCACTTAGGTTTAATCTTTTCTGGCCTAGTGGTTTTTGAGATGTTAAAATGGTGCCATTAAATTTTCAATTATTCTTAATTACCTCCCCTTGAAAGAGGTTGTGGTCCTTCATTTGAAGAAACTTGAACAAGCTTTGTAGCAAGCTTGCTTAAAATTGGCCCAGTGGTGGAGAAAAATTTTAAAATGTAAAAAGTTACAGATGGACAGACAGACAGACAGAAGGAGGGACAGACAGTTGTATGCCAGACAAAAAATATCAGAAAAGCTCACTTGAGCTTTCAGCTTAGGTGAACTTATAAAAAATTGTTTTGCAAAAATATTGAAGTTGAAAAGCAATTCAAAGCTTAATATTTGCTTAACTGTCTTTTCAACTGTTTACTTTTCATAAGAAACAGAAATATTGCAGTCAGTACTCTCTGTTCCTTGAAAGAATTAATTTTGACTAGATAAAACAACAAAGTTATACAAAATTCACTCCTCTAAGTAGGCTTTAAAATATTAACATCACCAAGTTTCACCAAACACAGATTAGTAAAATTAATAAGCCGAATATATAGTAAGATATTTCTGTCACGTTCCCTTGTGGATCACAACAGCTCTTTGTAAGAAAAGTCCACTCATTTTAATAATGTAATTACAATGAACACAGACAACGTTAGGCAAAATATGACTATTTAGAGGTGGGACTTTATTTAACACTGGATGCTTCCTTGTAATCTGTCCCCTCCATGGTAAAGAACTCTTCCAATTTCCACTGCAAGGTTTCAAATGTTGGTCTTTCCATCTCCTCTTTCCTCCAACATTCCAGCATTATATCATACAGTGGTTTGGGACAATTTGGGGGGCAAGGCATTCTGTATCCATGTTCCACTTGATGTAGGACTTCTGCATTTGTCATTCCTACAATAGGTTTTAAACATTGTCAATATAGTCTTGCCTCATGAACTTGGTGGGACTGTCAAAAAACTTTCACAAAAGCCAGACATATATTCAAAACTACAACAGCATATAATTTAAATATCAATTCATGAATTTAAACCCATAACAAACTAGATATCATTGAGATGGTGGCCATCTCAAAGGGCCCCACTTTCAGCAACGAACATGAAAATGTAAGGTAGCTGAAAAGGGTTTATTTTGAAGAGGAACATTTGTGTACTATTAAGGAATGTGTTGTCTGAAAAAATAATAAAATAAAAAAAACTTTTAGAAAAGTATTTGTATGATGAAATGAAATATAAATATATATGAAACACTGCACATCCATTGACCAGTGGCACTCTGTGAGTGAAGTATGAGCCACATTGGACCAAGGGGAGAGAAGATATGTTCCGGACAAGGATTTTTCATATAATTCTGCTATGACCTTAACGTTAGTCCTAGAAACATGGTTCAAGGCCACTGCACACCCTTTACGCAAAGGAACTCTGTGGGTGAAGTATGAGCCAAATTGGGCCACGGAGAGAGAAAATATGCTCCAGACAAGAATTTAAACAGAGAGGCTATTTTTGACCTTGACACTTGACCTAGACACTTTGTTCAAGGTGACTGCACATCCATTGACCAGTGGAACTCTGTGAGTAAAGTATGAGCCACACTGGACCAAGGGGAGAGAAGATATGCTCCGGACAAGGATTTTTGATATAATTCTGCTATGACCTTAACGTTAGACCCAGAAACATGGTTTAAGGTCACTGCACACCCTTTACCCAAAGGCACTCTGTGGGTGAAGTATGAGCCAGATTGGGCCGAGGAGAGAGAAGATATGCTCCAGACAAGAGATCTCGGATGGACAGATGGACGGACGGATGGACAGACGGACAGACTGATCGCTATAGGGCGCCTGCAGAGCGGGGCCCTAATAATATGAATTCCTCTTTATATAAACTTGTCCATTATAATCATAGGTAAGGGGGTGTCTTAAGATAGTATTCTGCTTAATAAATCATCATTAAAAATAGAAATGTCACATGTATATTATTGTATGAAAATATTAGAATACTTGTATATTTATGCAACACATCCACAGACCTTTGTAAAATATTTCTTTTTTTATCAATTTACATGGAATTGTTTTTGTACGGAATTACATGTGTGTTTGTAATTCATTCCATAAATCGGTCATTTATTTTTCTAAAAGCAATGACATTTATAATAGTTTTTCAAATCTGTGTCCAAGCCCCTTGAAACTCATTAAATAACATAGCAAAAGCAATTTGCTTCAGTGATGAACTGGTTAGGTCTTAACATACTTGTAGCTACAGCATTATTGCAAATTAATGTCACTATTGAACTGTTTTTAAAACTAGAGGCCCAAGGGCCTTAATGATCACCTGAGTATAATACAACACTGTAAAGGATCCATAGATTAAAGTATAAAAACAAAATAACTGTTTGTTATCTCCATATTTCATAAACTGATGGATGAAGACAAACTGCCCAAAAGTAAGAGAAATAAGATGCTCAGATATCAACAAAATAGTATGATACTCAGTATCAAATCAACAAGAGGCCCATGGGCCACATTGCTCACCTGAACACATTGGCTAGGCAAAAGCACAAATCAGTTCAGTATTGAAAAGATTACCAGGGGGAGGGGGGGGGGGGCTTGAATTTTAAACTACCTGATGATGCTTCCATGTCAATATAACAAATGGCTTTGTTGTACTTGAAAGATTTTTTAAAAAAATTTCCCATATATTCCTTTGTAAAAATTTGATCCCCCATTGTGGCTCCTCCCTATCCAAGGGGTCATCATTTGAACAAACTTGAATCTACACTACCTGAGGATAATTCCATATCAATATGACTAAACATAGCTTTTCTGTTCTTGAGAAGAAATATTTTTTCTATATATTCTTATGTAAAACTTTTGATCCCCCATTGCCCCCCCCCCCCCCCCCCGAGGGTCATGATTTGAACAAACTTGAATCTTCACTACCTGAGGATGCTTCCATATAAATATGACTCATCATGGCTTTGCTGTTCTTGAGAAGAAGATTTTTAAAGGTTTTTCCTATATATTTCTATGTAAAACTTTGATCCTCCACTGTGGCCCCGCCCTACCCCCAGGGGTCATGATTTGAACAAACTTGAATCTAAACTACCTGAGGATGCTTCCATATAAATATGACTCATCATGGCTTTGCTGTTCTTGAGAAGAAGATTTTTAAAGGTTTTTCCTATATATTTCTATGTAAAACTTTGATCCTCCATTGTGGCCCCGCCCTACCCCCGGGGTTCATGATTTGAACAAACTTGAACCTACACTACCTGAGGATGCTTCCACATGAGTTTCATCTTTCATGGTCCTGTGGTTCTTGAGAAGAAGATTTTTAAAAGATGCTATTAATTTTTCACTAATTCTTTATTATCTCCCCTTGGAAGAGGGCATGGCCCTTCATTTGAACAAACTTGAATCCCCTTCACCCAAGGATGCTTTGTGGCAAGTTTGGTTGAAATTGGCCCAGTTGTTCTGGAGAAGAAGTCGAAAATGTGAAAAGTTTACAGACAGACAGACGGACTACAGACAAAATGTGATTAGAAAAGTTCACTTCAGCTTTCAGCTCAGGTGAGCTAAAAAGTAGATCTATTTACTTGTGTGTACTTGCCAGTGATATATTCTCATTTGTCACTACAGTACAATTCGTTTAGTATCATACCAGTTTTATAGGTGTGATCCCCGAACGTCAACTGGACTAAACCAACATCTAATTATCACACTCAATTAAGGGGCCCTCTAAGGGGTACATCATTTATGAACTAGCTTTACCTGTTTTTAATGAAGGAGGAATTCTACAGCAACAATAAATTTTGGATCTTGAAGGCATTTCTTCTGAAACATGGTTTCAGCATGGATAAAAGATATTGTTTTACATGATTTTTTTTTTCAGGGGGAATCTAAAAATCTTGAAGATTTTATCCATTAGTTTAAAAAATAAAAATAAAAATAATGTGTTTTATTCTCATAAATAATTTTTAATTAAGAAAAGCTTATCTGATTTTTCTTGACATTTTTTATTAAATATTTATATTATCCATTTATTTAGAGCAAACTTTAAACTCTAAAGGATCTTATTTGCAATTAAAACAATCTTTTCATTTTCTCCTAAAAAAGCCTCCAAAATTCATAAAAATTAATTTAAACTAATATCAATCTTTCCATACTTAAGCCATATTTCAGAGGAGATGTCTTAAAGATCGGTTAAATAAAATTTCCGTGAACATGTAAGTAGCTTTCTTTCTTAAACAGGAAAAATCTAGCGATCATATGTCATTTTTTCTTTTCAATATAAGCATTAAAGGTGCTTAGACACAGATTTGAACTTAATATTTTCTCAAATTTTCTGTATAATATCACGACTTATATATTGCAATAATAATTCACACGCAAATATAATTAAAAACTTATTTTATCTGAAAATTATTGGAACTACGAATTCCGGGACGCGTTTGATTAATACATCTTTGCACTTACAAAAATTTTAACTTTATCCTTAATATTTAAGAAAAGAAGCGATTTTGTTATGTATAAATGAAAAATATTACATCTATAATCCAGAAAATTCAGAGTAGAAATGTTTGAAAGCAAAATCATCTCACCAGTATTGTCAGTCCATGCTCTATGATGTGTACAGAGTTTAACAAATTGAACACACCCGTGAAACGTAAACTGTTTTTGTAAACAGGGCACGAGCTCTGTTATTGTTAATGTTTACGATTCACCGGGTGTGTTCAATTGTTAAACTCTGCACACACCACTGAGCACGGACTTACAATACTGTGAGTGGATTTTGCTTTCGAACATTTCTACTCTGAATTTTCTGGGTTATAGTTTAAATATTTTTCATTAATACGCAATAAAATTGCCACTTTTCTTAAATATTAAGAATAAAATTAAAATATGTGAAAGCACAAGGATGTGTCAATCCAATGCGTCCAGAAAACAGAAGTTTTAATAACTTCGAGATGAAATAAGATTTTTATTATATTTTAGTATGAAATGCTATAGCAACATACAAGTCATGAAATTATACAGAAAATTTGAAAAAATATTAACTTCAAATCTGTGTCCAAGCACCTTTAAATGAGCTAAATAAATTTTGCTTTGGATAACTTTTTAATTTAGTTTCAATCACCATTTCAAAGCATTAATTTTAAATATTGTAACAATAAATAATTTCAAAATCTTTGTTAGTTTGCATCATAAAACTCAAATCACAATATACATGTATTTTATTTTTGGTAAAAATCTATCAAGAAGCGCAAGATACGATTATTTGAAGAAAAAAATTATTTTGAATTTAAACCCCTCCCCAAGGAAATTGGGTTTTGGACAATATTTTTAAAAGATAAGTTGTCAAAAAAAATTTTGCCCCTCCCCCCTCTTTCAAAAACGATACAACATGTCTGAATTTGATGTAAATAAAACGGTGCTAACTTTAGATATTGCTTCCAAACAAAGAGGTAGCTATGGTTTAAACAGTGGGGGAAAGGGCAAAGTAAAATCAAAATAATTAAAAAAAATCCTTGAAAATCCTGTTTTGTGTGTTCGTGTGTGGGGAGGGGTGGACTTTCTCTAACTGTTTGTAAATTTTTTTTCAAGTACGAGCTGGAATTCGCCAGCGCTCGACCTTAGAGCAACAGAAAGTAAGAGGGGGCAGCATCTAAATGAAAATTTACATATTAGATCTAGAGGAATAGACTATACTACAGGAAAAGTCTATGATCAGAAAAATGCCCTCTCCCCCTTTTCATTCTATGGACCTGCAAATGTGGTGTGAAAAAAGTTCTCCATGATTAATCAGATTAATATAGATTAAACAAAGCTTAAAATGTTAAAATTTGGTGTAAGTGATGCTTCAAGTACCAAGTGTTAGGTAAAAAAAAAAAGTTATGTT